TTAATTCAGTTATGATATCATTACTTATGCAAGAAAATGAAGTAGTGAATGCAATTTATTCGAATTACTATGATAACCATGATATGATATATTTACACTTGCTACCAAATGCTAATCGTCATATTTTTATAATAATATAAGCAATTCCGAGTAACTGGAAAAAAAGTAATCGTCATTGTTCTAAAATTATAAATTATAATTTTAGAACAATGATTTAAACCAGCTGACACGTCTTTTAAGTCCAGAGATATTTAGAAATTATACTTTCTGGCTTTACAGATGTGTTTGCTAGTCTGTTAGCGTTTCCAGTGCGTTTTATATCTCATAAAGTGTTTAAAATATAAACTACCGTCAATTCAAACCTACGACATGACAATGGATTTAAGAATGCAGTTTAAACAAAATTTAAAAAATTCTGAAAGTTTTCAGACTGTATATTACGCCTAAAGGGGATTTTTTTTTTTTTTTAAATGTTTTGTGTGCTACCTTTATTTATAAAATACCATATTCTTCGCACTTAAACCATAAAATGCAATTCCACAGCAATATCATAAAATAATTTAAAAAGAGCATATCTTTAGAATTTCTGATACACATTCTCGTGCGCTGGAAATAAAGATATTTTTTTCCCGCAGTGTTGTCATTGCTCGCTTTGAAATCGTTGAGTTTGTTAATCAAAAGTTCGTTAAAGTTTTACAAAATATAAAACAGACAATAAAACAAATTCCAGCTTAGGATTTCCACATGCCCATATTCGAGTGGAGGATTACGTTATTCAAAATTTGATGGCTCTAGGAACCGTTGTGTTATACATACATTTAATATAACAAGGTGGAATGGAACACAACTTTCACGAAGTATGAGTACTGCATATAATGTGGCACAATTCGCAACAGACGAGAAAAGCAATTTTTTAAGTGGGGAAACAACTTTAACCTCTTCACATTTAGATTATGTATTATTAAACAAATCTATATAAATACTATTATATACAAGCAATTATGTATAATTTAAACAAATCTATATAAATACTATTGCAAAGAAAAGGGGAAAATGGAGCAACGTTATGTTTGAAAAAATGTTAAGTGAAAGGACTTTTATTCTTGCTCAACATACATGATACAATTATATTTTTAAAAAGCTGTTGATTTTTGCCAAGCACAATGACTGATGCAACTTTTTAAAAGTTTCATGGTACAACGTGCATTTTATAACGCCTCTGATAAAAAGTTCTCTTCTTTCTTTATTTGGGTAATAAGTTCGTTCTGGGAATAACTTTTTGCGATTAATTAGTTCAATGAATTCATGTGCAAATTCAGCTGGAAATCTTCTGTCTAAAATTTAACTGTGTCATACCTTGACAATTTTTTAATTTGGTTCATCAACCTATCGAATATGTGTACTCAGATTTTTAAGCCCAGTTTCTCAAGAAACGTTTTGACTACTAAGCCATTAACACTGGTTCCGTCAGTGGCCTGCTTTCGCTGCAACTCTCTCTCACCTATTCAACCATCACTGTCACGATCATTACTTTCAGCATACCCAATGGGGGTGTTAGAATCCAAAAAGGGTTCGACAAGTTCCTTTTTCTACTTTTTTAATGGCATATACTGTTGATTTGCCAGTCCCATATTCCTAGTATAAGTTTGAAGCGGAAATGCTTATCTTGCTTGTTTGACATCGAAACATGCTTTTGCTCTGCAGATCTTGCTGCAGCTCCAGAATTAGAAATTCTTTTCGATATAATTGGAAATTTAATTTTGGTAAGATAACTGCAATAATAATAACCTCCAAAAAATAAGCTAAATCAAATTATAAAGTTAAGAAAGACTGCTAATTACTAATTGAACTTACTTGGAATCTTTTTTCCTTCCAAGGTTATACCAACAACAGAAAACCAGTATAAGCAAAATCCTGCTCAACAAATATGTCACAGAGCTTTATTCATTGTTTACGTCATACAGATTATTGCTAAACCTCCCACAATCACTCAAAGCTGAAGGCTAACGTCAATAAAAATTAGATCAACATGCTATTGGCTAGCGATTCCCAAGCCAGCAAATGTGATTAGCAGGAATCTCAAGAGATGGATGAACATGTCACTGATTTGAAGACACATGGAAGTAAGCTCCATCCTGAGTACAATGATGTTGGAAAATCAGTACATAAATTTTCTGTGGTTAACACAGGAGTCTTGCAAGACCTGAGAGAAGGCTAGGTCTTATCTCATGATGTATACTCGTAGAAAGTCTCTGAATAATCTGTATGAGAGAAATAATGTTGGTGTGATAGCAAGTGAGGAATCTGAGTTCGTCGGGAGATAAATTGCTTTTACAGCACACCTCTTAGAGCATTATATTATTTATTCCTAGTTTTTGTAAAGACGAAAAAAAATTTTGGGGGGGGGGGGCTGGTGGTCCAGAGATTAGAATATTGCATCATTCCACATATTGGACATTCGGATTGAATTTTCAAATTAACATATTAAATTTACATAGAACATATTAAATAACTTTTCTGATCATAATAGACCAATAAATAACTTTACAGTACTAAAACTATGCACATTTTTGCTTGAAATTAAAATATTTCTTATAAGCATATTTTAGTCCATAGCAAATTTAAAAAAATTACCTCTAAGTATTAATTTCCATTCCTTTTAAAATACTTTCCAGAGCCCATCAATCGGTTTGTGCTTAGAAAAAGCTACACTGCTGGCCACCCAAATTGCAACACCAAGAGAGACAAGAGATACCACAACAAAATTTATTTAGTAAATTAACATGTTGACCAAGTATCAAATGATTAAATTTATAGACTTCTGTGAAGTGTGATTCCTTCCAGAATCAGTAGCCAGAGTAGCCGCCATTGTTGGAGATCATCGCTGCCACACGCCTCGGCATTGATTAAAGAGACTTGGATGTGTTCTTGGGGTACAGCAGCAAGCAGTTTCCAACACGTGCCAAAGTTGATCTGGGTGGCAGCTTGGGCATGTATCTGGGCAATGTTCAACACCATGGACCACATGTTTCTATCGGCGAAAGATCCGGAGAGCGCCGGCCAGGGAAGCAATTCAAGTGATTGACGAAGATCTGAGTTTTCGTGATTGACGAAGAACCTTTGGATAATGCGGTCACGTGTGGTCGTGCATTTATGTTGAAAAATGGCTGTGTGCAAGCCTGAAGGTAGGAAGGAAACTGGCTCAACATCTCGGAGATGTAGCGCTGACTGTTTAAACTACCGGCAATGCGTATTAGAGGAGTGCGAGAGTGATATCCAATACCGCCCCATAACCATACCCGGTGCAGGACCAGTGTGGCGGTGCATAACGCAGCTGTTCAGCATCCTCTCTCCATGGTGTCTCCAGACTCGAATCCGACCATCTAGGTGTTGCAGACAGAAGTGTAACTCGTCAGTAAAGACAATTTCATTCCATTCTACCGTCCACATCCTTCTTTCAAAGCATCATTGGCGGCGGAGACGTCTGTGATTCTGCGTCAAGGGTAGACGAAGCAATGGACGTCTCGCGGACAGACCACTCTGCTGTAAACGGCGTCGAATGGTACGCGCAGACACTGGATGATACGTTACAGACTGAATGTGCTGTGCTATGGTTCGTGATGTGACTGAGCGATCCGTCACTGCCATGCGCACAATGTTCCTGTCATCACGTGAAGTGGTGCACTGAGGTGAATGCGATCGAACACGTCGGTCCGCCGTACCCTCCTGCATTACAGTTGTTTGGTTTCGTCCAACACGACTACCGATTTCCCTGAAAGATAATCCACACTCTCGGTAGGCCACTATCCTTCCTCTGTCGAACTCGGATACTTGATCAAACGATGGTCGCTGTTTAATTGATCGTTTTTTTGAAAAAAACCACAAGAAAGATACAATTGCCAAACTCTAAATCGTCGAAAACTTCAAGCCTTAAATAGCGCTTTGAAGTGGTGCCACAGGCGCGCGTGATGTGCGTCTGCACTGAAATTCTAATCATTTGCATATTTCACCTCCGCTAATGCATGTTGTAAATTTCATGTTATTTGCATGCTTCCTTCAGGGTGTTGCATTTACGGTGGCCAGCAGTGTATTTTCAAAAGAATACAGGCAAAATAGTCCATAAGTGAAATGTAAGGGGACTTCACTGGAATATGTTAAAAAGGTATATATGCAATACCTGTACCAATCTTAGTCATACGTGAACAGTTACGGTAACGTAAGGGGACTTCACAGGAGTATGTTGAAAAGGTATACATGCAATACCTGTACCCGTCTTCATTATTTCAAAGAATGAAGTGGTACTTTTCGAAGTACGACTTGCTTTGTCTTGATGAAGCTCTATTCTTTGAAAGTCAATGGGATAAAAAAATGGAATTTCTTCTGTAAATATCGAATGTAAAACTTCCTCATGATTTTAACACCTTTTTCCACTCTTGTTATTTTTGATTTCCCACTACAAGAGAGTCCTGCTACAATCACAAACCTCTTACTGAAACTTTCTTTGCATTGATGGAACCAAGTTTGTACATTTTTCTCTCTTCATTTTTGATAATAAATAGACCTTTTGCTATTGCAATCATTTAGGTAAACCCATGTTTCCTCAAGGGTCACAATGCCTTTCCATTATCTCCTGTTAATCAATTTTCATAGCTTTTTACAAATTGTTTTGCACCGAGCCACATGTCTTGACAAAAGATGGTGAACATTTAACTTTCTTAGGTTGTACATCTTGGTTTATTATTTTATTTATCGTTACTACAGATGAATTTAAAGACTTAAGTTGGCAACTGATTTCTGAAATGATGGATTTTCTCTCTTAACCAAAGATTTAACTTTAGAAACATTAGAAAACAGTATGTATCTTTTCGGCTGTTTGTTTCAAATCTTCCTTCCGTGGAGAAGTAATGACCAATGCTTTTTCCCTTTCCAATTAATAATACTGTTTATTTATGTACTTAGAAATTTTAATGCTATCCATTTTACAATGTTTTTGAATTACAGAATAGGAATATTTCTCTTCAGAAAGCACAAAAACATATCCTTTGATCCACAGCTTGTTTGCATGCAACATTTTGAAAGAAGAATGAATTTGAAAGTAGCAGATGATACTCCTTAATTCAGGTAATAAGCTGTTGTCTGAAATTTTTATTCCAAACATTTTCTATATTTAAATCATTCTAAAAATGTATAAACATCCTCTTTAAAGAATAATGTTATCTCACTGAATGAAAACCAGTTTTCATAATATAATTTGATAATATTAAAATATTTTGTACATAAATGATAGATACAAGTTTATCTAAAAACAATAAATGCATGAATACTTTCAAAGAAATGGTCTCTTCTTGACATTCTTTAAAAATGCCTATTATTTCAAACATGAAATTAATATACAGTCATAAGTCGTTAATTCGGACACCCATAATCCGGAATGATCTATATTCCGGACCTCAAAGCTAAAAACTTTCTGCGCATGCGCCGCGTTGACACATGCGCATAGGCGTTTACGCGTGCGCGTAAGACCTTTACGACTGCGCATATGCGTGTGCGCAAGTGCAGAATACGTTTTCGCGTGCGCGTTTAATGTATAACGGACGGTATAAGCTAAAATTATCTAATTATCTATTTCAGTTAATGTTGATGATTGCGTTGTTCCTTAATCTTCGAATTGGATCCGGCTTATTATTTTTTGCAGACTGTAAGAGCAATTTTATAAAAGTAAACTTGAACTTTCGATTATGTCAAATAGAATTTCCGATGCTGGAACTTCCAAAGGATCTACAAAACGAAAGTATGTTTCGATGTCCACAAACAAAAAGTGGAATTGCTGCAAAAAATGGATAAAAACATGAAGAATGTGACAGAGAGGTTAGTTGAAAACGAAAAAAATTTCGATTGACAAAGTTAGTCGGTATTCTCGACACAGCAATTATAGGACTTGAACAGCGGAACTTTGTAACTGAACAAAAAATTATGTCTGTTTATAGAATTAAAGAGAAAGTATTATCACATAAAACGAAGCAACTTAAACAACTTACATTGAAAGAAATGTTTAATAAAGTAAACAAATAAATATTAAGCTTTTTTTTTGTAAATTTTGATACCCTTTAGATCATAATTGTTCTTTATTTCATAAATTACGGTTTCATATTTTTAATTTTAGAATTTCTGCATGCCATCTTACAGATTTAAACTGATGATCTATAATCCGGAAAAATCGATAATCCGGAATCGCCGAAGTCCCGACGAGTCCGGATTAACGACTTTTTTGATTACTTCAGTGGTAAATTTATATTATAGGTATTCTAACTTTAGTCATTTAGTAATATAATATCGTATTAGTTAAAAGAAAACAGCTTTTAGTTTTCAACTTATAATATGAAGTTAATGCAATATCTATTATTAAAATACAGTGTCAATGAATATATTTTGTTTGAAATTCATCATGTAAGTTGACTGTTTGAATAAGATTTTACAGGGTTCGTACACATTTCTGCACACGGAAATTAAGTACTTTTAAGGACCATTAATGAAAAAAATTAAGGACCTATGAACAAATGGGAACTGAATAAATTCAATTAAAAATATTATCTATGCCTGAATTTCACTTTTGTAACACAATCCTAAAAATAAAATAGATCCCTAAGTAGTATGCATTATTACTAAACATGAATTAATGAACATAATTATTAATAAGTTTGAGAATAAAATAAACTTTATGCAATTTAAGAAGTAGCATTAAATATTTTATACTTATAATAGTTGGTCATATTTGAAAGAAGATAAGTGACATTTATATTTTACTAACAGTTAGCTTTATGTTGATTTTTTTTTTTATGTCTCATTTTGTCACATACTTGGTCAGTCTAGAGGTTTAGTAGCAGGTAGATTTTATGTCAAACGGCGGAGTTTAAAATGAGAAGTAAGATAATCAGCATGATTCATAACAAAAGACTGAATGTTGTCACTGCTGTTGCTTGTCTATAGAGAGACCTGCTGATTAGAACAAACCTGAAAGGCCTGATGTAGACATGGTTGGCAAGTGCTGAAAGTTAGACAGGCTCTGTTTGATGCAGTTAGTGTCGTAGCTTCGTGTAGAGTTCAAGGAGTTGTAACCCAGTTAACATACTTTAAGGTTCCAATAAAGCATTAAAGCACTAGAGGTGATAAAATGTTTTGTATTATTTTAAGTCTCAGTAGATGCAAAGTATAAGTTTTACTTGAATTTTTACATTTTTGTATTTTATCTTGTGACCACAGTGAGTATTATTGAAAGGCAAAAACTTGCATTAATATGTAGAGATAATTTTTAAAGGTATGCAGTTAGTTATAAATAATTAAATTAGGTAGTTTGATAACCTTAGTCATTATGGATTTACATGACCATTTTAAATTTTATTTTTTAACAATATTTGTTAAAAAAGCTCTATTAAAATCAAAATCTAATAAATTTTCACAGTTTAAAATACATGTCATTTATGACATTGATTCTTAAATAATATTAGGCTAATTACACATTAAAAGCTACAAAATATTTATGTTTTGTAACAACAACACTCAACAAAATATTTATTCGTCATTTTTATTTGGAAGCCTTCCTAGACATTTTGGGTAGTTTAGATTTCCTTCTCTTTAAGCATCTTTTCTAACAATTAAGAGATTTGTCTCAATATGCAAACCAACGCTCTCGCCAGTTTCTGCGTGCTTTATCTCCTAACTTGTCTACCTCTCCACAATGTACCTCTCAGGGTTTACTTGATCTGTTAAAAGTTATATAGTCCCAAACCCCCGACAGACATGAAGCATATTTATGCTACGTCTGAAAGTAACTACAATATCAGATAAAGGCTTAAACAAGCCTCTTATTTAAAAAGAACTTAGAACATAAAGGCAAGTTCTAATGCTAACAAAATCAATTACAGCTCATGGTGACGTAACTAAACAAGAACAGTCAGATTCAAACTAATAATCTGGACTAGTGGTCAAAGATTATACAATTTAATTTTAATTTTATCTGGCTTAGTAATGAGGAAATAGAAATGGGAAATTACATTAAAGGCTGAAATCATAAACAATTGGGTAATTCACATAATAATAACTGTACATATCTTTGAAGAATAATTTTCTTTTATGTATTCAGTTTCTTTTCTTCAATATGTTTCCTTTTCATTTTAGAATTTTTGGAGTTAATTAAAGATTTCTGTTACTCTAAAACACACTAAATGCATATAGAATGTTCAGAAAAAGCAGCTAATTTTATTTTAGTAATATGAACATTCAGAACTATGAAATATATATGGTTACAGAGCTGATGTGGCAGAATTTTTAGAATTTAGTGACACACCAAAGAACAAAATCTAGAAATGGCAAAACTTTTAGAATTTAGAGCAGGCATTGGAAGCAGAATTTAGAAAAACACTAGGCAGCAGAATTTAGGATCCACAGAGATTGTACTAGTTGGGAAAATGCCTAGATGCATTAAGACATATTAGATGAATCTTTTAAATTGTAAGTTTTCAATTTCCTTACAAAATAAAAAAAATCCCTTTCTATAATGCCTGCCCACGTGATAAGATTAAAAGCATTTTTGATATTTTCCATGCTTGCGTCTAGTGAAAAGTAGAGAAAATAAAGGGACGATAAACATATTAAGATTCTAGTAACAGAAGTAAAACATTCAAATATTATGTTTTCATTGTTCTTCCAGACATTCTCCAAAAAGTAAGAAATTCATTGCAAACTTTCTGTAACATACATCCATTACGTGTTGATACCATGGAGACATTTTTCAGTTTGTCACATATATCTCAAATCTTCTAGAATCACGGGTCTACAAATCTTGCCTTTAAATCCTCCTAAACTTTCCAAGCTGCAAAGTCTAAAATCCTAAAGAAAAATTATCCCTACTCATTCTGTAACAGCAAAAAGCCAGAAATATTTTGGAAAAAAAAAAAAAAAAAAGGAGGGGGAGGGAAAAAGTGTAAAATTAATTTTATAGAGAAAACTGATGCATATTCTGAATATTCTGAGACAATTACAAGGGGAAAAACTCTTACTATGAAAAAATTAAAAAGAAGACATTTTTAATTAATTGCATAGCTAATTTTGCTTTTGCTAAGAGCTGTTTCATAAATTGTGCTTTATAGCATTATACCTTGTTTATTTTTCAGATTCAAAATATTGTATAATAAGTTGCCAAAATGAAACTTTATAATATGACAACAAAAAATAAAAATGTTTTATTTTAATGTTATTTTTTAAATATAATTTCAATAATTACGTTTATTTTAATGAAATTAATGTTATGATGCTTTTAAAAAAATTGTCGAAAAATTCTCAGATCTCGGAATTAGAAAGTTTCTGTAGAAAATGATTTTAAAATCGCCAAATTTAGAAGCGTTTAATAAAAGAATTCACATCCCCAAAAGGGAGAAGTTGTTTAAGAGCTCTTTATTACAAAAATGAATTTCAAAATGCTTATGTTTCACTTCTTGCTTAGAAACTCGAGTATCCCATTATTTATATTAGAAATAGAAACAAATTTTAACTCATAAACCCATTCAAAAGATAACTAATAATACAATATATATGTCAGTGAATCGGCAAAAATATTCCTTCAAAATGCTAATTCACACTCAAAATGACAGTCGTAAAAACAGACAGAAATTTGAGATGATTAAAATGAATGACCTTCTGCTGATTTTGGCCAAAATTAAGGACTTCGAAGGACCAAAAATCAATTCCAAAAAATTTAAGGACTTTTAAGGACTGTACGAACCCTGATTTTAGTACAGTCAAAAGTCTTTAATCTGGACGTCCATAATCTGGAATGATCTATAATCCGGACCTCAAAGCTACAAACTTTCTGCGCATGTGTTTACGCATATGCGTTTGTACATTTACGCATATGCGTATATGCATTTTTACATTTTTATTTAATACGTTTACGCAAGCGCATATGCGGTTACGCATGCGCATAATACGTTTACGCATGCGCCTTTAATGTATAACGGACGATATAAGCTAAGCTAAAATTATCTAATTATCTATTTCAGTTAATGTTGCAGATTGCGTTGTTCCTTAATCTTCGAATTGGATCCGGCTTATTATTTTTTGAAGACTGTTAGAGCAATTTAATAAAAGTAAGGTTGAACTTTCGATTATGTCAAATAGAATTTCCGATTCTGCAGCTGCCAAAGGATCTACAAAGCGAAAGCATGTTTCGATGCTCATTAAACAAAAAGTGGAATTGCTGCAAAAAACGGATAAAGGCATAAAGAAAGTGACAGAGAGGTGATTTGTTTCTCTAACCATTGCGAAATCTGTTTATCAATTTCCCGCTGCTCTGCGGGAGGGTGGAAACGTTGCGACGTGCAATGAACTGGAAGTTGATTTGTCAGCACTATCCTCATCTTCAGAGTAGATGTTTTTATTTTATTCAGCTATAATTCCTTACTAAATGTAGTGTTTCATCTTGATGTACTTCGATATGATCTAAATCAATTTCCTCGTCATTATAAATATCATGAATATGCAAAAAATAGTTTTCTGGTTGCAATTTTCTAATTTCGACTACGCGTAATGTATGCTTTACGCATGCGCGCGTTGAAAGAAATGTTTAATAAAGTAAACAAATAAATATTAAGCTTTTTTTTTTTTTTGTAAATTTTGATACCCTGTTTAGATCAAATTGCTTTTTATTTCATAAATTATGATTTCATATTTTTAATTGTATAATTCTGCATGCCATCTTACCAGATTTAAACTGATGATCTATAATCTGGAAAAATCGATAATCCGGAATCGCCGAAGTCCCGACGAGTCCGGATTAAAGACTTTTGACCGTATTTATAATTTTGCTTAGTTTAATTATCAAATATAAACAATCAATGTTATTTTGGTTCGAAACATCATGCTGGAAAATAATAAACAAATGTCTACTCAAACAAGATATATGAATATTTTGTTAGCATAAGAAAGAACATAAGTGGAAAAGATAAGGCAATTTATTTCCATCTTTAACAAATACAACTATGATTCAAATTCTCATAATTACATATAAACTGAGCACATAAAATTTAAACGATAACAGAAGACAACATACAGTCTAGCAAATTCCAGTTGTTCTGCCAAACAGCAGTTCCATACCAGTAGCTATAGAATCATTATGTTGTGCATGACTGGCAGCTAAACATCAAAATGGGATAACACTTTTTCACATGCTTCGGCTCCATTACAAAGAGGAGTTTAAAGGCATTTACAAAAATCAGTTTTAAATGCCATTCATGTAAATACCTCTGCAGTCAAATATATTATTTTTGAACAGCAGCTTCAGAAAATAATTTGCAAAACATTTCCAAATAACATCATACAATAAATTACCACTCTTGAACAGGCACACAAAAAGAACATGTGCAATATTTTAACATACCTCTAGTCAATAAAAAAATTTGCATAAACTGACATCAAAAAATTTTGATAAACACTTATCTCTATGAACGCAAATTTCTAGTTTATAAATTTTCATAGCAAAATATTATCAGTTTCTCTTTTTTACTGTTCACAATAGCCAATTAAATACTTTTACAATATTTTCAGCACATAAAACAAAAGTTCTGAAATATGAGCCAAAGCAAGAAAGAAATGTTTCTCTTCATCAAGATGGGGGGAAGACAGCAAGCTACCATGTTGTTATTATTATTACAGTTAAAAACTTATACTTGAGCATCAGCATTTTCCAAGCTCTCAGCTTTCTTTATATACAAAGCAAGAAATTATTCATGGCACAGCCATCAGCAGTAAGAAATGTACAGAATTTCTATTAGTTATTTAGTAAATAATTACAATAACAATCACCAAAGGTTAATTTGTATGCAGTAGTTTTCAAGTACGAAGTCAATGTAAATAATTACCATGAATACCGCTTCTTCCATACTTTTTTATAAAATTAAACTTGAAAAGCAGATTAATAGATTGACCGAAAAGAACATTATTTGTCATCTTCCCTAGGTATCAATCTTATTGATTATGAAAATGCAAATCTAAGATTGCATATTGGATGCATCCAATTCTTTAAAATGTTTCATATGAAAATGGGAGTTAGCTTTCAATTAAGAAAATTTTTATCATTTAATAGATTTTATGTACATTTTTATGATAATCAAGTAATGTAAATACATCAGTTTATTAACAAAGCACATATCAAACAATATCAAGGACTTAAACATTTATTCTTAATTTATTCAGTTCTTAAACAATAAATTCACAAATTACTTGTTCATAGAAATAGTTTCAATTCATTGAATATCAGAAATTTTAATGATAAAAATAATAAAAAACAAGTACTAATTTGAAGTTAATGAATAATTATGCTTACAAACTCCAAAACACTTAAATATGTATATAAGAAACCATTTTATAATACTCTCATTCATCTTATTCATTTAGTTCCTTTGCATTCCTATGTGGAATCAGTGATGAAAAAACATTACAGAACAAATTTTATATTTCACCCAACCTGTTTAAAGCCAATTTTTTAACATTAATTCAAAAATATTACTCAACGATAGTTTATGTGCAATTAATTTCTTTCACAAATAATTACACATTTAAAAGTGAGAGCTAATGTTCATATAATTAAAAAGCCACAAAAGTAGCTTCAAAACTATAACTGAATATTTAAATACCTACAAATACTTCATTTTAATATTAAAACAAACAAAAAACTTTAAAATGAAGAAATTTTAGGTTATGTTTGTTGTTTACCCATGTTACATTTTCAGAATAGCATTATTGCAAAGACTGGGAACATACAAACTTTTAGATAATACAGAAAAAGTTGTATTCACAGTAATTTTGTAAGGCAAAGATGCCTACAATGTGAATAAAATCTGGACGTTGACAAGGAGAACTGAACTATAGCTAAAATTCACGCTCTTTCAAAACCACCATAAAAAAAGTTCTTCTTTTTACACTAGCAGTTTTGAACTGTGCCTGTTATACATTATATCTGTATATTTTCGTAAGTTTAGAGAAAACATGGACAATGTAAAAATTTTTCAAGAGCCACATTTTCTCAAGTTATTTTACAAAATGCTGCCTCACCAATGGTCTACACAGAAAAATGAATATTTAGTGATATCTTTATTACAGACAAGTGTGATCCATGATGTCACAGAAGAAATACTGTCATGTAGATTCTACTCTCTATTCTTACTGGTATGAGAAAAAATATGGCAAGCACACACTATTTTAACATTAATTAAAAAAATATAATTTAAAACAAAGAGTGCAACTACACTTTTTTCCCTTCAAAAATATTACTTCTATATATATGTGTGTATATATATACATATTCCAGAGGTAAATATACATAACATTTAATTGCTAACAAACAACAAATGAAGAAAAGTGGAGGAGATATTTGTTTTACAAAGGTTGCTAAAGTTAAAACATTTAAATGCACTCAAATGAAATATCCTCCCCCCCTTAATGAAAGTACAACAAATCAAATCTAAGTATAATCAAAACATCTAATCTTATCACCATGATACAAGTATTCCTAATTTTAAAACTTCATTAATAATTAAAGAATATTAAAAATATTTTTAAAAAGCCCCTATTTAAAATTATAGTAGTCCAGATTAATAAACTCTCCTCCTAGAGAATTTTTAATTGTACCATTATTACAGTAGTTTTTCATTAAACAATAATGGGAAAAAAAAAAAAAAAAAAAAAAAAAAAAAAAAAAAAAAAAAAAAAAAAAAAAAAAAAGATGCAACTAAAAATCATATAGAAATCATTATGCTTTATTAACAAATTTGAACTAACATGACTCTTTAAAAATTTCAAAATTAAAATATATTTCACTATACATATACTCCTTAATTTTATGATTTGCATGTACAATGAAACCTCTTATGAGAACCATATCTTATCAATAACCAGCTTTCAAAATGATCAGTATTTTTTAAACATATTTATATATAAAGAATGTTACCACCTTCACGGACCAAAATTATGTGGAACTATGTCTGCTTGTCTTCATGACTTCATGAGACTGCATTTAAAAATGACCACAATTTCTAGAACATACATAAACAATGTCATTGAATATCACCTCTCTGAAGGTGATCATCTTCACAGAAGAGCAAAATCATAGAGAACCAAGTATGGTTATCTTAGAATGATTTCATTGTAGAATGATCTCATTTGTTAACTTTAATAATGTATAAAATACATTACTATGTATCTTTCCTTTTTGTACACAAAAAAGGGGAAATATAAAATGAAATTCATACATACATCACTTTATTTACACACGTGAAAAAGATAATCTATATTAATTTTTTTAAGTTCAATTATATATAAACATAGCAATTAATTAAATTATACAGTTATAAAACATAGAATCATTTTAAAAATTTATATATATATATATATATATTTGCAGAAGACATGATAAAATGAATATACAAAATATATTTTGTCAGTACTTCTTAAAGAATATGCAGCAACCCTTTAGGTTACCATATAAACAATTCCTAAGAAGTACTAATTTTACTTTGTCATAATAAATAACTAATGCAGCAGCAGAAATTCTGATGATGAAATTTTCTCACTTAAAACTACTATTTAATAAAGTAATGCTCAATATCATATTAAATCATTTTAAACCATCAGAGAATACCTTAAGTCTTGAAAAATGTCTTAAATAAATTTCATTGCATTTTCTGTTCAAATGCTGCGCTTTAAGAAAAAAGTGGTCACACAGAAATGGACTGAATATAAAATCAATTTTAAATACATTTTTGAAAATTAATAAAAAATATGCTATTACATAAAATATCACATAATGATACATCTTTACTTCTTCCCCTCCAATTTTACTCCTCCCCAAAAATTCCCCATTAAATTGGACAACAAATATTTATATGCATTGCAATAATATCACATAATGATACATCTTTACTTCTTCCCCTCCAATTTTACTCCTCCCCAAAAATTCCCCATTAAATTGGACAACAAATATTTATATGCATCGCAATAAGCTTATACTTTTGAAATTATGGTTTATATTAAATTTTTGAGTGAAAATTTAAAAAAAAATAGTAACACTAACTATAATCAATTGCTACCATGACAGTTTAGGAAGTAATCAAAATATTTAGTCATTTATTTTTAAAAGTATTACAAAATATAAGGCTAAATTCAAAATCCAAAGCTTATTTGCTGGAACAAAAAATATTTGAAATTTAAAGCAACACCCATATTTCAGAAAAACATTTTAACACCTAACATAATAAAGAAATCACTAAATGCAAATATGCTTTTGAAATGAAATAACAAACAAGCATAAAATCCAAAAATAAAGAAATGTAGCATAGAAAATTTATAAATTCATTAATAACAGTCAGCAAAACAGAACTGTGACAATGGCACTTTTAAATCTTTGCAGACAAAGACAATACGAAACATTGCTAAGACTAGCAAAATTTTTAAATAGTAAGAAAGAATGCAGATCTACAATACAATTCTAAAGCACTTAAACAGAATGAATTATGAGAAATTACCATCTTTCAGCTATGAAATTATACCACTTTAGAAATTTCACTTGCATCTTAAACACAAATAGATGAAATCACATTGTAAATTTACATATAAATGTGAACTGAACACATTTTATTAAATTATAAGCAACTATCATGGGTTTATGAAAATACAGCTAGAAGAGACATAATTAACAAATATTATCCAGGAATTATCAGGTTGTTAGGAGCACCAAACAATTAACTGCAACATGCTACTTTTTGAAGGTGTTATGTTGCTCAAATACTGTATTCATTGATAAAACAAACTATTACACACAACCACCAATGTATTATATTGAAGCGTGCAATTAGTCTCTACACAAAATATATGTAATTTACATAAAAGTTAACAAATCTGATTTTTCATTTACATAATGATTGCAAAAATATAGTTAAATAAGCCTTAACAACTTAATATTGGCAGCATCTGTTTCGTAGCCATTGGTGTTGCACTGCACAGCCTCAATTTGTGGGCAGGAAACGACGGAATGGCATTTCCACAGTTACAGGAGTCTGCAGTGCTTCCTCTTTTTAGGTTTGGGCTGTGGACAAAGAACGGCACGGATTGCCTCATCAAACACATTTTTTAAACCTTTCTGAGTAAGGGCTGAACATTCAAGATATTTGACGGCACCAATTTCTTTGGCCATTGCCAGTCCTTGAGGATAGGTTATGGGTGCAAGTTTCCTCTCTTTCAGTTTTTCAATGGTTTCTTTATCTTCTCGTAAATCCAGTTTGGTCCCCACAAGAATTATTGGTGTATTTGGGCAATGATGACTAACTTCTGGATACCACTATAAAAGTAAGTAAAATACAAAAATTATGAGAAAAACTATTTTAGATGCAATAGAGGGCTTTAGAGTAATAATATGAAAATATAATTTACCAAAATACCAAAATCTTTTAACTTCATAAAAGTTTCATTAAATAGAACTCTACGTATTACAAACTGCTTTTAAATAGATTAACTTTTCATAAATAAGAAAAGAGTTTCATTTATGTAACTAAGAGGTGAACGCTGCCACAAATAATTTCAATCTAAAAGACAGCAGAATTTTGTCACTAAGCATAATTTACAGGAAATCATACACATATGTATGATACACATGGTTTTGAATCATGCACATGGTTTTGAAATGTTAATATTTTCTTTTTTTTCACTTAAATACTTTATTTATTAATATAAGTATAAATATTATCAAATATTTCACAACAAAAAGTTATAAGATTTTTGCAAAATAAAACTATTAAGAACTTAAATGTATTTAATCAATTATACCATGTACTTTGTGGCATAAAATGCAAAAGTTAATTTGAATGATATAACAGCAGAATTTAATGCTAAAACTCCATAAAAAGGTGTTGAAAGATATTTTCTAAGGCAACTAAGCCTTTATAAGTATATGTCTCATCTATTGTAGTTATTAATCATTTTAAAGTTGTGTTATTACTAGATTCTGATGTAAAGTTAATGAAGATTCATTATCTATTTATTGCACTTTTGTTATTGTCTGACTATTGTAGTAAAAATAAAATATCTTCTTACAAAAGGCAAGAATAAGAAAATACCCCCCAAACAATAGCAACCACAACAAAGAGGAGGGGGGGGAAATAAAGGCATATGAGAAAAACTTGGCCTAAATAAGAGGTCTATACCACAGCTCCTTGGAAATAAAAGACTAGCTTTTATTTATATTTCAGAAACATGCCCTTTCAACTTTTTATAAAGGAAAAGAAGCTAATAAAAATATAATATGAAAAATCAAACAGGGAAAAAATTAATGCCAGATGCAATCATCTAGGAGTAAAAACTATTAATGATGCATAAATATTCTGCTAAAAACTGGTGTACACACTATAACTTTGTTTTAAGGCAGGATATCTTTCACCATAGCATCTACAATCATGTGTTAGTTCACATATACAAAACTGTTCATATATCACAACTTCTCTTTTATAAAAATACTATGTTAAAATTCCATAATAAAAATTATCTGCTAGTGCAGTTACTTCAAACTAAGACTGATGATAGGGGAAAAATAACCAAATATAGAAGTAAATAACAGGGTTTGTACAAACTTCTGCATGTGTGAAATTAAGTACTTTTAAGGACCATAAATGAAAAAAAATTAAGGCGTATCAAGCAAATAGAAACTGAATAAATTAAAGGAATCATCCACACCCGAACTTCATTTCTTTTCTATGCTTTTGCAATTTATAAGAATATAATAAATCTGTAAGTAGGATGCATTATTATTAAACATAATCTAGTATTTAACATAGCTATAAAAAATTCAAGAATAAAATTAACTGCATTAATTTTTTCAAATAATTAGCATTAAATTATAAAATTTCTTGAAACATCTATATTTTACACTTACAATGAAGATGATTAGTGGCTTTTTATTTAAATTTTACTAACAACTAGCTTTATATTGATTCTTTCTTTTATGCTTTATTTCATCACATATTCACTCAGTCCACAGGTATATCCAAATGTTATGTCAAGCAGCATAAGTTAAATTTTGAAGTAAAATAATAATATGCATGACTCGTAATAGAAGCTTGGCTGTTGCCACCGTAACTGCTTAGAAAAGACAGCTGCTGACCAGAACAGGTGTGACTGTCTAACATTTGTATCGTTGATAAGTATTTAAAGTTAGCTACACTTTGTCTAACCCAGTTAGTCATAGCTATGAGTAGATTTGCTGGAGTTGTAACCCAGTTAATATACTGTATTTAATATAAAATTCTAATAAGCCACTGAAGCACCGCAGATGATAGGTTGTTTTATATTAAGTATTAATTTTAAAATTTTTTTATTGTATCTTGCATCTGCAATAAGGATTAAGAAAAGGAGATAACTCTTCTAAACATGCACAGATAACTTCTAAGGGTGAGCAGATAGTTACAATAATTAAATTATGTAATTAGATACCCTTATTCATGATAGATTTACATGATTACAATTATAATTTTTTCACTGCTAATTAAGAAAGTACTAAGAACATTTTACAGTAGTTCTAATTTATGATACTGATTCTAAAATATTAGTATACATTAAAGCTACAAAATATTTATGTTTGTGGCAACAAACAACAAAATGTTCATGCATCTTTTTAATTTGAAAGTTTTCCGGCTATTTTAACTAAATTACATCAGTTGCCTTCTCTTTAGCCTCTTTTCTAAGTTTATTTGTTTCAATAACAAATCAGTGTTTCCACTAGTCTCTGCTTCATCTCCTAATTTGTTAATGTTTCAACAATGTACCTTTGAAGAATAATTTTCTTTCTCTTTATAAAATCAACTTCTTTTTTAATGAACTTCCTCTTTATTTTAGAAATTTCAGATTTCATTAAAAACTTATGTTATTCTAAAGAAATGCTTATATTTAGAATGTATAGAAGAAACTGTTCATTTTATTTTTTTAATGCTATGAGTATTGAGAATAAATATGAAATAATATAAGGTCAAGGCCGGTGCCAAAGCCAGTGTGACAGAATTTTTAGAATTTAGGGAAGTACCGAGCAACACAATTTATATATTGTGCATTAAAACATATATGATGAATCTTATAATAAATTGTTGGTTTTCAATTTCCTTGCTTTCTTTGATTGCTTTAGTGCTTGTCTAGCGGAAAGATAAGGAAATGAAGAGAAATAAACATGTTAAACGAGACACTTCTGGGATCAAAAGGAAAAAATTCAAATAATTTTGTTTTTACTCTTCTGAAAATTCTCCAAAAGGTAAGAAATTCATCATAAATTTTCTATAAAATATGCCTATTACGTGTTAATACCATGAAGACACTTTTCATTTTGTTACATTTTATTGGAAACAGTAGATATATAAATCTTGCCTTTAGACATTCCGAGGTGAAAGGTTTAAAATCCAAAAGAAAAATTATCCCTACCCAACTCTGCAAATAGAGAAAAACCTTTTTGAAAAAAAAAAAAAAAAAAAAAAAAAAAAAGAGAGAAGTGTTTAGTGAACTTTCAGAGAAAACTGATACATATTTAAATATTATGAAACAATTCAATGGAGAAAAACTCTGACAATGAAAAAATATAAAAGAAAAATTAAATTAATTTTTAAATTATTACAGTAGCACTTTTGTTTTTTCCAAGAAGTGTTTTGGAAACTGTGTTTTGTAACTTTTATTATCTCTTATTTGTTTACTCTTCAGAATCAAAATATTCCAAACTGGAAAGGAATGCCACTTTAAAATATGGAGGAAGAAATTAAAACTTTTTTATATTTCAATGTTATTTCTTAAATGTAATTTTAATAAATTACTATTTTCATGACATTTATCAATGTTATTAATATTTGTAAGAAAAATCGTCAAAATTTTGCAAATAAATAATTTTGTATACAAACTGATTGCCAAAATATTTTTTAAATGAATTTGGAATTGCTAAAATGTTGATAAGTCAGCAAATTTAGTGCCACATCATGAACAAACTCATATCCCAAAAAAAGAGCAAAGCTGTTTTCGATGCAATATTTTTATGAACATTTCATCTGGAAAAAGATATTATTTCAAAATGTTTATGTTTCAGCTGAGGAAGGGCCACATGCCTAAAACTCAAGTATCCACCATTTACATTTAAGAAGTAGAAAATAATTCAAATGTTAACTCATCAAATACATATTTGTCAATGTACTGCCAAAAAAATATTCCTCCAAAATGTTAATTCACCAAAATATGGCAGTCATTAAAAAAAAAAAAAAAAAAGAGAGAGAGAGAGAAATGTCAGATGACTAAAATTAAGGACCTTTTGCCACTTCTGGCCGAAACCAATAACTTTTAAGGAACAAAAATTATATATATCTATAAAAAAAAAAAATAAATAAATAAATAAAAATAAATAAAAAAACTAGGAACTTTTAAGTATGTGAACCCTGAATTATTAATCTCCATTTATATAAATGTAAATTCCTATAAAATTTCAAACATAATACAAACAATATGTAGAGCCATAAAAATCAGCAAAATCAAACTTTACACAGTCACTTAATTAGAGAAAAGCTCTACATGCAGAATATGCATACAAGCAAAAATCACATTACATTTCTTCAGCCAAAATATATTATATCTTATAGATGTGCATAGCATTTTAAAACAACCAGGTTTCTGTTAAATTTTACTAAGGATGAAGAATGAAATGAGTGGCAAAAAATTATAATTGTGGGTTGTAACATCAACGGTTTGCTTATCAGAAGACTGCAGCCTATTTAAACATACCCAGATCAACAGTTTTGGATGAAATATATTCTTGGAAGAATAGTGTACAGGCAAACGTCCCCAAAGAAACAAAGGACAATAAAATGCAAGGAAAATTACAACAGTTAACAGTAGCTTTCTACGTAAGTACATATATATACTATTGGAAGGTCTACGTATACATGTGTCATCCATACAGGACTTAATCATATCAATTATTGCATGCAGATTATCTAAAGGCATAAAAACCTTAACCAGAAGATAATAATAATATAACTAGCATTTTTTGGCAAAAAAATTTACAATTTACCAACATATATATATTTATATACTTTTGGTGCAGCCAATTGCAACCAAAAAGCGAGCTGCACAACTACATGTTATAGCAGTCCTATATACAAAATGATACATTATGAGGCTACTCATTTTTGAGTTATGCGAGATACGTATGTATGTACAGATGGCATGAAAAAATCTCTTCTGAATGCATTTTAAAACAGTTTTATGACTCGTTTGGTGTAAAAGAGTCCTTTCTTCTGTCCTTGCGTACAGATGTCATGCAAAAACATTGTTAAATTGCATTTTGATAGTGGTCAAAATGGATATTTTTGTTGAAATATGAAACTTGGAATTTTTCAAGATTACAATACTTCCTTTACTACGTACAAAGAAGTAAAAACTACTTTTATTCAAGTTTTGGTATCTATCAAAATTTTCTGTACCTTTTTCTTGTTTAATTTATAAAACACATAAAAAATAAGCTAAATTTAAATAAATGTATATGTATCTTTCAAGTTTTGGAAAGGATGGAGGAATAATAGGAGTATTGTCTAGAAACAGTGAAAGCAAAGTTGGATTAACACATTGACTGAAATTGACACATTGACTGGAACTTTTCATGATTCCAGTCTAAAAAGCTAATTGTGTGTGATCTTGTAGTTGGCATATATAGTAGAAATTATTTTGCCAAAGTTAATTTTGAGATAATTCATGAGCAGAAACACTTCAAACTGTTGCTTTGCTAGAGCAGAGTAAAACTATGTATAAATTCATTACTAATAATAGAGTTATAATGAGTGCATCACATTTGTGCTTTTCTTGTGTGTGTTATTTTATAATCAAATTACATATACCCCAATATGAATAAGAAAAGACCACTTCCTGAAAAAGAAACTGAGTACTACAAAAAGTTGCTAATAATCTAAGCGATCCCAAACTTGACGAGATTGTCAGCGAGGATGGCACTAGTACCGATTATGTACCTTCTGAGAATTCAAGTGAGAACAGTGATGATGAAGTGATCTCCGAACCTGAAGATGAGATGATTCTTGAACCTGAAGACAAACATGATGCTTCCCAAGAAACCACAACAAATGCAAATTACAATTTCTGGACAGAAAATCGCCAAATTCCAAACTATTTATTTTCCAAGAAAATATTAGTTTGAAGTTGGATTCGACAAATCTTACAGTCCTAACGATGGTAGACTTACTTTTTTCTCATGAATTTCTTGCATTACTGGTTGTACAAACAAATTTATATGCTGCATAAGAAATTTCAAAACATAAATAAAAAGATCTATGACGTTGTCACAGTGAAAAGAAATTAGTGCTGCAGAAAAGAAATTTTTTTTGGACTTCTATTACATATAGGCTCTTTTCCTTCAAATAGAACATTACTGAAATAGAAACAAAATGTATAGTGTAACGTTTTGTTGATCACATACGATTCAAAATAGATTCCAATTGTTATTGCCTTGTTTTCACTTTGCCGATAACTCAATACCATTTCCCAACAGTTTACACGAAACGCGACCTATACTAAATCATTTCAATAATATTATGCACTAAAACTATATGCCAATTAAAAGTATTTGTATAGACGAATCGATGATGTTGTGGCATGGAAGACTGAATTTCAGCCAGTACACACACACAAAAAAAATAAAAAGCACAAATATGGTGTGAAGCTGAATGAGCTGTGAATCTGATGGTGTTGTTATAAAAATAAAAGTTTACAGCAGAAAATGTGAGGAATCTGACAATAATTTAGGTCAAAGCAAAATTTGTTACATTTGTCTTACGCTTATTTGAAGACTATCTCGATAAGCGATATATAGTATGGATGGATAATTTTTATAATTTTGTTGCTCTTACGAAATTATTAACTATACGAAAAACTTATGTGTGTGGAACTCTATGAAATAACAGAAAGGGAAATCCCAGAGTTGTGGTGAATTGAAAACTGAGTAAAGGAGAATTTTTGGGCTAGTCCCATTACTGTATGTAAATGGAAAGGCAAACGAGATGGCCTTACTATTTGAAATACGCATGTTGTTGAAATGGTAAAGGTGTCGAGGGAAAACTTTCGATGAAACTGAATATAATTCGGGACTACAATTTAGAAATGTCTGGCATTGATCAATCAGATCAAATGCTGTCATATTACACATCTCTAAGAAAGACTATATGATGGCTGTCACGTTTGTGTTCTAATAACTTAGCTTCCACAAACGCCCTCTGGCGGAAGAGACAAAAAATGGTTAGTTGAACAGGTGACGCTTCTAACATAAGTTGAAATGATAGACCGTCTCCGTATATATTAGAAACACAATGTTTGTATTGATTGTAACTTGTAAATACCTTTCACATGTTAATAAAATTTCTTTAAAAAATTTATAGTAGTGTTCCACTGCTAATAGAATTTCAGCATACACATGGATACTGAAAGGAAAGCAAGGCAGTTCAGGGCAGCCCTTTAGAAGGTAAGTGAATTTTCACTTACCAGTTTTAAAAAAGGGGGGATCACCACAGTTTTATTATTTACAGAGTATTTACTACTGAAAAAAACTGCATCCAACAAAGCTGTACTGAGTTTGTAATAAAGCTAAAAACCATCACAAAACATGTTACTTCTGTTCAATCTGCAAAGAAAAGCCAGCATTTTGCATGGAAGATTGTTTTAAAAATTATCACAAATCATAAAAATGTTATTCTGCTTGAATAAACTTGTATAAATTTTTTCTTTTGGAATAAATTTTGTATAATTGTACTCTCTGTTCATTTAAACCAAATTTGATTTTTCTTCTCTTTCTTGATGCCATCTACTCATATTTACACTGTTATACTATTACTTCCCTTGTAGCTATACAAGGTGATGAGGCGATGAGATAGCTCACTGCCCTGGGAAAGTAAACAACCTACGAGATATCTCGTAGTAGACGTGTTAACCATTGTGCAATATATGGATGTGCTTAGGTCATCAAGGAAAGGGGTGAGACCAAAAATGTTCCCATTGGCAATTTTATCATGTAATGCATGGTGCAATTAAACTGAAACCAAGAGACATGAGGAATGAAAAAAAAAAAAAAAAAAAAAAAAAAAAAAAAAAAAAAAAACTGGCATGAACGTATATGGGAGCATCAATATCTTTTAAGTGCTCTTAGGGCTTCTAAAAAGTCAGTCTCCCTTCAGATGAAAAGGGTGCATAGGACAAAAAAGGTTGAGATCTACTGCTCTAGAAGAAAGTTTCTTTTTCTTCTGTTACAACCTCTGGTTTTGCAAACAGGTTTTGAATGTTAGCCCCATATCGAAACCCAATCTGGAACAATATTATATTCCCTTTTATTATTTCACTAATGCTTGTCCAGCTTGGATGATCTTGCAAGTAGCTAAGCTATGGTGACAGAGCCTAATCAATAACTGATATATGCAAGCCTACTCGCTAAGACAAGGTTCAACATTGATCAAATTGGCTGATGACAGCTCATTAAATTAATTAAACATAAAAAATAATATATACTAGTGGTTATGATTCTTACAAATTTGGAGGAGGCATTATTTTCATATGGGGCTGCTTGCTTAATATAATGGCTACAACCATGAAGAATATCCTTTACAATTACGCCTGTTAACTTTATGACAATTATTATTATGGCAATAAGATCTGCTACTAAAAATTTGGCAAAAACAAAACCTCTTCAGCTTCAAATTAATCAATGCATTGTGTTTTGATAAGTCCACTTAGAACTCTATTTTCAATTTTACACCCACATGGTAAGTTTAGGTACGCAAATAAAAGAAATTCAATCTATAGCATGAACTGGCATGGCATTAGAGCAAATTTCTGATAGTATTTTGCAAACATTTGTTGAAAGCATACCTTGGACGCTTAATATTTGCATTACAGACTGAGCTTAGTTTCTAAAATAAGAAAGGCCATCAGAAAAAAACTAAAATTAAATATAAAGAAATAAAAAAATGACAAATATACAAAATAATAAAATATCTTTTCTCATCTTATTTGAAGTTTGGACGAAAATTATAATTTCACTCAAAAACCAAGAAGTTTAAAAATTACAATTTCACTCAAAAACCCAGAAGTTTAAAAATTACAATTTCACTCAAAAACTAAGAAGTACTGGAGAAAGAGTCTCGTGGATTTTGGATGAATTTAGGGTAGGTTAAGCTTGATTTTGGTAAAGCACTTGAGTCCTATTTGCCTAAGGGAAGTTATGCATTCATGGAGGATGTTCTAAAGGAAACTGGCTTACAAATTACACATGAGGAAAAACAAGAAAATGCCATGCAGTTAGCCTGGGTTGAACTATTAATGTTCAGCGAATTCAGCACTCAGCCGTTGGCGTATCCTGGTTGGATTTGAACCTTAAATATATAGTACTGAGCAACAAAATTTAGGGATAGCAAGATTTTTAGAATTTAGAACACACACTGGACAGCAGAATTTAGGACCTGCAAAAATTGCACTGGGTAGCAAAATGTCTAGATTCGCTGCTGTCTCCAACACACCACTGGAAAAGCAAAAGCAGTTACATACATTTATCTTAGTATTTCATTATGTTAGGCCTGTTGTCATTTGATATGAAATAAAGAACATTTTAAGAAACAAAGATTCCCAGTCATCCTGCGGTAAATCAAGGATAACTAAAATGATCTAATGGAAATGGAAGGTTTTATTTTTTTAAGCATCTCAATTCCTCTCTGCCCCTCCCAGGGTTCGCCAAGAAACAAGTGTGTATCATTCAGAAGTCAGTATCAACTTCTAAGTTTTACTTGTAAAGCAACAATGCTAGACGGTCAAAATTTTTTTTATGCTAAAACTGAGATTCCATAAAAAAAAAAAAAAAGCTCATCTTATTTAGGTCCTGGTGCACACTAGCTAGAATTGCGATTTATTCTCAAAAAATGAAAAGTACCGGGACTGTGCTCCAGCACAGTTTAAGCATGACTGCAGTTACAAAACTGGTACCATATCAATGCATGTAAATAAATATCTTTTGTTTCTCTGATGGGATTGGTAACTTTTATCTATATATTTTTTCTCTTTGAAATGAAATGACTTATAACTTAAATCTCTCAGAATGCACATATTTTATAAAATAGATCCCAAACCCCAGAACCACCATTTTTGTCTAATTTTAAATTAAAATATTATTTTCATCTTACATATAATAAAATCAAAAGTACTTTGACAAATACATAGGTACTTATGCAGCTCTCGTGAAAAAAAATGATGCAACTCTTGTGGAAAAAAATGATAGTGTCAGTGCAAGTTATGCTAATTTTACTTGCATTATTCTTAGCATTACAGGAAATATATCATTAAACACCAAAGAGCATTAAATCCACTATTAATTTTCTCAAATTCATATGAATAAATATAAACCTAATTGTATGGAAGGGGAAATAAAAACTATCCACTGAACTTAGTGTGCTGAATCACATAAATGAAAGTTCAATTATATATAAGAAATAATTTATGCATATTTGAAAGGCTACAGATACCACTATCAGATGAATTTAATACAGCAGATACATTCAAGTATATGAATCCTACAAACAAATAAACAAACAACAACAAAAAACTACAGCATTAAGCAAATAACACAAAAACAGTGAACAATACTATACCGAGGGCCATATGCACATTTAAATACTTAATTTTTTAATATAATTCCTTAAAAAAGTAAATAGAGATTTAGAGTTTTTAATTTGAAGAAACTCTCATGTAAAATGCACAGTTACATAAATATCACACCTTTTTGTTTCTAATCGCTAAAAATTTTCTCAGAATATGAACAATTTCACTTAAAATGCAATGTACAAAACTAAATTAATATTCTTCTTTTAAAAGCATTAATTGGAATAACACAACAGTTAATTTATAAAATAGTATAATTTTATATTATATTATATAAAAAAAAATACAGAATCATTTTTTAAAAGTAATTAGAAAAGAAAATCAAATTTAAATGAAATATTACCTTTGCTCTAACATTTTCAAATGAAGCTGGATTAACTAATGAAAAGCAAATAAGAAACACATCCTAAAAGGAGAAATAATGTAAAGCAAGGTTTAACTAATAAACATTTTACATACAAAAGTACATAACTTGCATTTAAAAATCAATTATCTTAATCAAGATACATTGTCATCAAACATCTATAAAACTACCACTTTCTTTGCATGGGCAAGCTGATCTCATACATCTAGCTTAGAATAGTCTAATTTTCTAAGAATAAATCTCAGTGATCTAAGTGTTTTTTAGTATTCTAAATCAACAGTTTCATCTAAGAAATATGCTTACATGACTCTCACAATTTGCTTCTAAATTAGACCAAAATAATTTCAAACAAGACTATTTCTGCAAAAGTTTAAACTTCCAGGAAATTAATAATATGTTCTCACAGGTCAAATTAAATGCTATGATTAAAGTTTTGCATCTCAAAAGTCTTACTTAAGTTTACCGCTCAGGGGAAGTTATTGGCTGATAAAAAATTAATTGGAAAAGCGTTTATTACTGAAATGTATTTTATATACTTGATTGTTTGATAAAAGTTAATTGTAAAACTTGCCGAGAGTTTGGTACCTTGTTGTGGTCCGAGGGCTCCACCTGCTTTAAATCCAAACTTCTTATTTTCCACTCGAGTAATCCGGTTGAATTGAATAACAATGGACCAAAATATTCAGACAGAGACTGTTGTGCAGAATGAATTAACAGAAGAAGCTTGTACAATCATAAGCAAACTAGAGATTTGCTTGAAAGATGAAAGTAAAGTCACAATAACAAAAAAAGTATTTAATACACAAGAAGTGTTATTTAATTATCTGATTTTTCAAGCATTAGAAAATTGAAAATCTAAAGGGAAAATTAGATGTTATGGATGAAACCACAAAATGAGAAAACTTTTGCTGAAATTGTTAAAGAGAAAAAAACAAATGATAAGAAATTACCTCTGCAAAAGGACAAAATCAAGAAAAGAGAAAAACACATTGTTTTATTATAATCTAATAAAAAGGCAGTATTTTCAGAAACAAAAACAAAAGTGTTTGAAGCTATATACCCAGTCAATTGAATATTGGTATAAAAAAATGTTAGGACAGTGAATAATGGAGGCTTGACTGTACAGTGTTTGAAAAAAGATGATATTGTTATATTGGAAGAAGAAATAAAAATAAACTCTCTATTGAGAGATGAAATTCAAGTAAAAGCTCTTAAAAAGAAACAGCCTAAAATTATATTGCATAATATAGATGCAGAATTGAATAAAGGTGAAAGCAATTAAGAAACAAAACCAAATATTCGAAAATGGAAGAACTGAACTTTTGTTTCCAATTAAAGCTAACTATAAAGTTCACTGGGTCACAAATATTCAACCAGATAAATTTGGTCCAATAATGAATGACAGTAAAATTAATTTGAAATGGTATAGAATTTCAATAAAAGAGTATTTAAGTGTCATAACACATTTTAAATGTCAAGAGTTTGGTCACTTTCAAAATAAATGTATAAAGAATCTGATATGTGCAAAATGTTAAAAAAAAAAAAAAAAAAAAAAAAAAAAAAAAAAAAAAAAAAAAAAAGGCCGCAATTATTGGGAATGCATTAATTGCATACAAGAGAATAATAAATATAAATTGGCTTTAGAAACTAAGCATTAGAGCTTAAATAAAAACTGTTCCTATTTTTAAAAGACAAATGGATCTTTTAATAAGAAGAATAGATTATGAGTAATAACCCATAAAAGAAGATGATGATTTAAAAAGAAATGATAAACAATCTTGGACTTTGAACTCTTATTGACTTTATTGTTATATATTTGCTTTAATATTTGTCAAAATATGATAAATATAATTTTTGAATAAGTAATTCATTTCTGTTATATAGTCTCTGTTTTTTATAAAATTTATTTGAGACTGTATTTTATATTGTACAAATAATCTTATTTATGACAAAAACATTTATTGTTAAGTTACAACTTATGTTAGAATACGAGTAAAAGTTTCATTCGATGTTATCCTAAGTAAGGGTCAAGCTATTTAATTAATTAAAAGATTATATAAAATATAATCTTTTAATATAAGTTTTTTGTTGTAAAAATTGTTTTATTAATAAAGAAATTTGTTAATATAATATAAGTTTTTGTTGTAAAAATTGTTTTATTAATAAAGAAATTTGTTGGTGGCTTTAATGGATCTTTTAGTCAACAAAGATGAATACGGTATGGTGTTTTGATTTTAATCAATAAATTAATATCAGTAATCCCTGCATATGTTGCAAGGTTGCAGGAAGAAAAACCAGTTTTACTCAAGTTTACCCCTGGGTACAGTTAATAGTCCAGTTAATGAAGCTTAGAACAGCAGACTAAATAACCTCCACACATGTATAATATGCCAAGGATGTAAGGCTTACATCCTTGGCATTTAACCACTGGTGGCCAGAGCTCCTAGCAAAATTGACCCTTTGAGCACCATGACCGGCTTTATCCAGTCATGAGATTTTTTGTTACTTATTATATATATTAGCTTATAATTTAAGATATTTTGCTTTCTCACTTCTATTAATAATATAAATGCCATCTTAATGAATGTAAGTTTATGAAGATAAGAGAATAAAATAGGTAAATATACATATTCAGCTAATAAAGGCTCTTTAAATACAGGTTTTCATGACAGATTCAGAGCTCATACAGGAGAGACCGGCAATGAAAGGGAAGATATGGATGCGAAAAGGGCCACTCATACAAGTCAACTTGGAGGTTCCCGTCTCCGAACTCTTGATCAAACATCAGGTCCTACAGGAATCTAGCTATCTGGCAAGATAGATGAAAAGATGATACAGCGGGATGTTCTACGGTTGTATTTTTTCCTAAGTTTCAACATCTAAATTGTTCAGGAACCACATCTTAGTTCAAGTACTTAACATCATGGGAAATTCCTTCAGTATATGAAAACATTTCACAGAAAAGATATCAGGTGCTCTGTGGGACAAGTGGGGAGTTAACAAGTCATTATGTAATTTCCTGTCCATACACAGTCCAAGACAGAAAAGTCCAACTTCCGTCTCACTTTCACAATTAGTGACGATGGCCTCTAACAAGGTCTCCTCAAGATTATGAGAGCGATAATGTCAAAACTAGCTTCCAATGAATCAGACATTATAGTTAATATGTAATTCTATTCATCCTTCAAGATTGTCTATGCAGTCGTGTTCAGCAAAGCAGGACCCCTGTAAATGTCTATAAATGCCTATTCCTGCCTCCTGTTTATATATCTTCATTTTACTCTCATATTTAATTTTTGTTATTTTCTTGTGTCATTTCTTTATCTCTGTATTTGATGTTTAATACAGTAAGGGGTCAGTTGGAAGACCAGTTAAAGCAATATATTAAAATATACTAAAAATCTGTCAATAAATGGAATACATTACTGAAAAAATATATTTTACAAATAGATTGACAGAAAAAATTTTTAAAGTTACATTTTAATATTAAAAAAAATTACTTAAGTAGAAAAGCATTATAATTTCCCCCTTCGTTGTGAATGCACAAGCAGAGGAATACTAGAAATTAAACATGCATACATATAAATACAAATGGATTAAAATACCGTTTGAGGATAAGACAATGGTCGTAATCTGTCATAATCTTCTTGCCCAGCTGTATCCCATAGACCAAGATTTATTGGTTTTCCATCTACCATAACATTTGCTGAGTAATTATCAAATCTGGAAATTTATTCAAAATTTCAACAAAAATGTATAAACTGTATTACATTAAGAAAAAATATATATAATCTCAATTCTTAATTGCTAAATACATGATTACAGATTACTACAGCAATAAAAATATCGTGAACATGAATAAAATGGAAAATTTTTCTACATTACTCATTACAAATTTATTAAAACTGCACTGCAATTTTTCAGCTTACAATTAATAGAATATTTCCTCAATATCATCACATAAATATTATTTATATGAACTTATTTTGTGATTGACTTATTTGTGAACTTATTTTGTGATTTATGACAACTTATTTTGTGATTTTCATACCCATCAACTGTGAAAATGCCATCAAGGTGCGATTTAAGGCAAGTTATGGATAAGACAATATCACAAAACACATATAACTGCACTTTTGTTGATGTAACCATGATATATTAATTACTTTTGTTTTTAAGAATAATGATTTAAATAAATTGTAACAGCTGTATATTTTGAAACAAATGAGTTCGAGGGCTGTAGAATCACATCTGTGACTGCACTCCCATTCATTCACGTCTGTTGAATAGGGAAAAGAACAGTTGGATATGGCTGATAAAAAGTAATAGATTTGAACAATCACTTGCTAGAAGTTTGCATTCGTGGCGTTCTAAACAGAAAGTATGGGAAAATCGAAAGGTCTCACAAAATAGTAGAAATTGATGAAAGTTTTTTTACAGAGAGCAAAACCAGAAGGGTGGGATATTTCCAAGTGGCTATTTGGTGGATCATGCAGAGACAAAGTTTTATTGTAGGAGTTGTAAATAGAAGTACGACTCAGAATTCTAATGAAACAATTGGCACAACTTTGGTGGGACTGCTGACAACATTCATCATTCAATCATAGTCAAATCTCATGGCTGATAGGAAATACAAAACATGTTTTAAAATTGCACAATTATTGATTAGAATAAGTTTAAATATTTCATTAAAATGTAAAAGCTAAAATGGGCTTTAATAACTAATGGCCATATTACAGTTCGGTTTTTAATTAATATAAATTTCAAAAGTCACAACAAACACATCTCCAACAGATTTATTTTATGCCCAAACATGATATTATTCTTTTACACAAATACTACACTAAAAGGAAAAAAAAAAAAAAAAAAAAAAAAAAGCAAAATCTTGGCAATTCTATAATAATCTACAGAAAAATAAATTTCAACACTTCAAATAAAAGATTACATATATATATATATATATATATATATATATATTACATATAATAGAAAAGGTTTATACATCAAAACTTAAATGCTTACACTGTCGGTATATACTCCCCAGGAAAAGCATTTGTGGTATAACTAATCAGTAGACAAGTTTTACCAACGGCCCTAAAAATAGAGTCAAAATATGTTTAACAGAGCAATACTACTACTAATAAATAAATGAACAAAAGAAAAAACTTCCCACATTATACAAAAATATTTAAAATATATATAAATCAGATTTGATTTCAGAATCAGATAGTTCAGATTTTACATCGAAAATTGGTAAGTTATTTCAGAAAAAGTCAGATTTTGTGTCAAAATACCTATGTTAGAACAGTGCTATATATAGATCTAATATATATCCTAAGTCACGCTTTCGAGACATGAAAAATGCAATATGAATTTCGTTAATCGGCCCAGTAGAACGGGAGATATAGAACTGTCCCCCCCCTTTTTTGCACAGTATACCAATAAGCCACTAAAGCACCAGATGTGACAAGTTGCTTTTTATTATTTTAAGTCTCTCTAGACTCAAAGAATAAGTTTCAGATTATTTTGCTCATTTTTGTGCTGTTTCTTATAATCATGGTAAGGATAAATGAAAGGCAATAAATCACTTTAATATGCAGAGATAATTTTAAGGCTGAGAAGTTAGTTACAAATAATTAAATTAGGTAGTTAGATACTTTTAGTTATAAATTTACATGGCCACTATAAAATTTCATGCATTTTTAAAAATGTTTGTTAAAAAAGAACAATTAAAATAACAATCTAATAACATTCCACAGTTTAAAATACAGTAATTTATGACATTAACATAAGATTCTTAAACAATATTAGGATAATTACACATTAAAATCCACAAAATATTGGTGTTTTATAACAACACACAACAAAATATTTATGCATCTTTTTAATTTGAAGCCTTCCCAGACATTTTGGCTAATTTATATCAATTTCTTTCTCTTTAAGCATTTTTTCTAACAATCAGAAATTCTTCTCAATATACAAACCAATGTTCTTACTAGTTTCCATATGCTTTATCTCCTAACTTCTCAACCTCTCCACAATGTACCTATGAGGGTTTACTTGATCTGGTAAAAGTTAAATAGTCCAAAACCCCAGACAGATGTGAAAAAAATTATTGCTATGTCTGAAAGTAACTACGAAGTCAGATAAAGGTTTAAATAAATCTTTATTTAAAAACACCTTAGAACATAAAGGGCATGTTCTTATGCTAAGAAAACCAGTTACAGTTTGTAGTGATGTAATTAAACAAGAAAAGTCAAATTCAAACTAAAAATGTAGAATAGTGGTAAAAGTCTATATAACTTAATTTTAATTTAAGCTCGTTCAGTAACTATATCATGATAACAAATTCAAATGTCGGCAGCACGATATTGCAAAGACGAATAATTAAAAATTATCAGAGTTGGCAGGAACTAATGCAATGAGTAAGCAGAGGTCAGAAACACATCCTGTTTTACACTCCAAAAACTACGTCCAAAAACTACGTTAATTACAGTTTAAAAACTGTAATTGTAATTTTTTCAATCAATTTTCCTTTCACTTTACAAATCTTCCGAAATAATATAATTGTAACAAAATTTATATAATTCTGCTTTTAAAAAACTTTAGTTCATTAAGGAAAAGTGCATTATCATTTATAGTTAAATTTTTGAATCAAAGGAGAGGTTAACATACAAAGAAAATTTCCAAGAAAATTCTCTACTTAATTAAAGTGTTATGGCAAAATACAAGCATAAAAGTAAATAAACATTACTGGAATTTTATGGTTTGAAATGGAGTTTTAATTGCTTATTTCAGAAATATTCTATTCTTCTAAATATGCAACTGCGATAGTATTATTTCAATGAAAATACTTTAAAAAGTAAAAACATTGTAGGATAATTCAGGTAACATCATTAATACTTTGGAAAACATAAAATTCACAAATGATTTATGTTTTACAAAATAATACATTCACAAATGACTTTTTTAGCATTAAAACAAATGAATAACATGAAAATATCTTTCTTAGCTTCATTGCTTTAAGTAACAATTAACTCAAAAACAGTTTACACGCTGAAAAAAATTTAAATTAATATCATAGGCATCAAATGTATTAAATTTATGAGAAGTTATAGTTCCAAAAACAATTTATGATTTTCTTTTCAACTACATTAGCAAAAATTAAACTTTCATCTGCCCATTAGTTTCTTTGAAATTAAAAAAATAATGATCAATTTGAAATTTCAAAATACAGTCATGATTTCAGGATTCTCTGGGTGAGCTGAAAAAGGTCTGTCAAAGGATCATAGTGCTCAAAAATCATCAAAACGTGATCAAACAAAATATTAGTACATTTAAAAACTTTACATTAAAAAGCAATCAAAATTATCGTTTGTTATATATTTTTATTTAAACAAACAAACTGTGAAATATTTAATAGTCTGTTAACTAAAAATTTCATACTTAGGAATTTCTTTTTTAGTTCCAGTTAATGTATGAAAGAATAAGAGTAATCAGTTTGTGAAATCTGAAAAATGATAGGATGAAAAGAGAAACAAAGGTATGATAAAAAAAAAAAAAAAAAAAAAAAAAAAAAAAAAAGCTTTTCAACATGGCAGCACAGTTTTTTGAAGCAAAATTAAATAATTATGATTAATAGTTATGAACACAATATTATATCTTTACTTTGGAAACTTTGTGTAAAGGAAAGGGAAAATTGTTAATGTTGGGCTTTTTAATACAATCACTGCAATTCATTAGTAATAATAATTGTAACAACAGTAACGATAATCCCCCCCCCAAAAAAAAACATTACATTCATATATCAAATATGCAGAACAGCCAGATACTGGATAAAAATCAAATACATAATTTAAAAAAAAGAAAAGACAGATAAAACCTTAACTTCCATGCTTGCCAATTTTTAATATGGCACAAAAACCATTTCAGTTTGATTCTTTTTACCTATGTAAGGCATTTTTGTATCACATTTTACTTTTTTTTTTTTTTTTTTTTTGTGGATACAAGGTAGTCCCAGAAAAATGAGCTGGTAAATGGCTTAATTAATTACACTTAAATTAACTTGGCTCATAAACTTTAGGGAAAATGTAATTATATTTATTTCTCAAAAAAAGAATAGAAGAAAGAAAATTATATTAGGTAAAAGCTTTTTCTTACTTCCTTCTATAAAGTAAAGGAAGTATTGTAATGATAAAAAATTTCAGGTATCATATTTCACTAAAAATATTCATTTTGACGGCTCAGCAATCCATTTTAATTATTTTTTTTAACGGCATCTATATGTACCAATGTTTGTATGTATGTATCTCGCCTAACTCAAGAACGATTAGTCATAGAACACTGCCCTGTATATGGGACTGCTATAATATCTAGTTGTGAACCTCGCATTTTACTTCCTTGTACAAAGTAAAAGGAAGTATTATAATCTCGAAAAATTTCGGGTATCATATTTCAACAAAAAATATCCATTTTGACTGCTATCGAATGCAATTTAATGATCTTTTTGCGTGACACCTGTACGTAAGAACAGAATAAAGGACTCCTTTCCCTCCAAACAAATTATAAAACTATTTTAAAATTAATTCTGAAGAGATTTTTTCGTGGCGTCTGTACATACGTACGTACGTATCTCGCATAACTAAAAAACGAGTAGCCTCAGAACGCTGAAATTTTGTATATAGGACTGCTATAACTTGTAGATGTGCACCTCCCATTTTGGTTGCAATCAGTGGCGCCAAAAGTACATAAATATATGCATATATATAACTACTATATATAATATATGCATATATATATATGTTACTCAGCTCAGTGAGTCCAGTTTCTTTATTCTTATATGTTTGTAAATTATACATTTTTTGCTTTAAAAATGATTGAATTATGCTGTTCTTATCTTCCGGTTAAGGTTTTTATGCCTTTACTTAACCTGCATGCAATAATTATGAAATTATCAACAATTTAAAAGGTTTTAAGTGCAGCTAATTTTTGTTAGCATGGCAGCCATATTCATTTACATTTAAAACTTATCAGAATAGTGGATTTGTTGCCAATCTAGAGAAACTAAGCTTCACAATAACAAAGTAATGTCTTCTTTTATTATTGCAAATTAATTTATGCTTAATTCATTCTGGAATTATCATTTATGTTATTAGCTTGTTTTGCATAGAAACCATAATTCTAAATGTAAAAATAGTTTTTTAAAATTGTTTATGTATACTTAGTGTTTTATATCTTTCTACATCTTTCAACTTTTAATGAAAGTATTTTGAATTTTTACATATTTTTGCTTTGCCACGAAGAGAGAACTGAATTAATTAGTAGCGAATGCACTTGAGTACGCATTAGGTAAGCAGCGCTGAGTCGTCTGTGAAAAATTGTTTCCTTTTTATTTGTTTAATTTCTTTTATACATCATTTTAGATTTATTATAGTATTTGAATAGAACATGTGGTAATTCTTCAGATGATATAATTTTTGTGCACTCTGAGTCATAAATGAACGAGATGTAATGCTGTTAAGTGAACCTTGCCGAAGTGTCACTATGGTAAATAAATATAGTGAACGTTAAAGAGCGCATTTATTCTATTGCTGTTTATGCGCTATTGATTAAGTAGATTTAATTCAAAATTTGTTAACTGTTAATTCAATATATTAAATGAAATGCAGGAAAATTGTGTATAATGTAATATTCCGTAAAAGGAATTCATGAGGTGTACACATCAGATTTTTTTTATTTCAATCTACTGCATCATGCATATGCATATGTTTATATAGCCTAGCAACAATACCCACCCTCTTGCTCAGTTCAATGAGCGTTTTTTTTTTTTTTTTTAAATCATTATATGTAGGTAAATTGTGGATTTTTTGCTATAAAAGTGATTGAATTATGTTGTTCTTATGTTTTGGTTAAAGTTTTTATGCTTTTAGTTAATCTGCATTCAAAGACTGTAAAATTATCAAGAATTTAAAAAAGGTGCTAGGTGAACAAATAGCCGCCACATTATGTGGCGGCTATTTGTTCACACTTGAAACTCTTTGTAGCATAGTGAACTATGTCCGCTGGTGCATCAATAATTTTGTCTTTTTGCCCGT